ACAGAACGGGGATGAGGATTTAAGGTAACAGAACAGGGATGAGAACAACCACGGGGATGAGGATGGGGATGAGGAAATAGGGATGAGGATGAAGAAGCAGGGAGGAGAACCAGGATGAGGATGGGCAAACAGGGCTCAGAACAAGCGTGAGGATGAGGATGAAAACACAGAGCTGAGGGTGAGGATGAAAATAAAAGAGATTCCAGACCTGGAAGGTCTCGAGGAAGAGCCCGGTGTTGACGAGGTCACAGGCCAGGAAGGCCCCCGGGCGCTGCAGCCGCTCCAGGAGGGGCCCTGGGCCCGGCCGAGCCCCCGGATCTGCAGCCACCAGCTCTGAGAACGGGGGGATGAGCCCGGGGGGCAGCTGGGGGGGCAAAAACAACGTCAGGGGGGCCAAACAGGGGGGGATTGGCCCAGGGGGCAGCTGGGGGGGACACAGGGTCTAGGGGAACCCCGGGACCAGGGGTGCTGTGGGGGGTGAAATTTGGGGGATCTGGAAGTTTGTGGGAACCCACGATGGGGGGATCCTGGGGGGCCCAGAGGGAACCCTGTGAGTTCGGGGGGCCCAGAGGAGATCCCAGGAGTTTGGGAGTGCCCAGGGGGGTCCCCAGGAGTTCAGGGGTGCCCAGGGGGGTCCCCAGGAGTTCAGGGGTGCCCAGGGGATCCCCCCCATCCTGACCTTGCCGAAGCTGCGCAGGGCCCCTGCCCGGGGGAGGGGCCCATTGAAGACCTCCCAGATGAGGCAGCCCAGGCGCCACATGTCTCCTGCCCTGGGGGGAGGGACGGGACCGTGGGGACCCCCGTGGTCCCCAGAGCCCCCCTGAGATCCCCCCACCACCTTCCCCAAGCACCAGCCCCGTGACACTCCCATGTCCCCCCAGATCCCCATGGTCCCCCCATCATCCCCCCCATGCCCCACCCCACTCCTTGTGTATCCCAAGACCCTCCATGTCCCCCTGTCCCCCCCTCCAGGCCCTGTGTCACCCCCATGGCTCCCTCAGGTCCTCCCTTGACCCCTCACGACCCCATAGCCCCCTCCATGTCCCCCATCCCCCCGTGCCATGTCCCCATGACCCCCGTCCCTCCACATCCCCCATGACCCCCACTCTCTTTGTATTCCCCTGAGACCTCAATGACCCCCAACTCACCAGGGCTCCCCTTCCTCTGGAGGGGTCGCTGAGCTCAGGGGGTCCTGGGGCCGGGGGCTCCCGGGGGCAGGGGGAGTCCCATCGCTGGCAGCCCCCACCCTCTCGAGCCCCCCCAGCTTCCACTCCCCCCCCGGGTCCACGAACACGGCGTCGAGTCCCAGCGAGTGGTGAACGAGCCCCGAGGCCCCCAGGAAGGCCAGGGCAGTCTGAGGGGGCAGGGGGAGCACCCCGAGGTGGGTTCAACCCCAGATAGGGGGGTACCACCCCCTGGTCTCTGCGTGCCCTCAGACCCCCCAAATTATAAGAACCCCCACATCCCAAGCTCCCCCGCCCCCAGCTCTCAGAGTGTCCCCCTGATGCCTGAGCCTCTCAGGGGCCCCCAGATGCCTGAGCCCCCTCCAGGGGCTCCCAGCCCCTCAGCAGCAGCCTCTGCAGCCCCCAGACCCCTCCAGGCCCCCCAGCCCCCTCACCAGCAGCCTCTGCAGCCCCAGACCCCTCCAGGCCCCCCTCACCAGCAGCCTCTGCAGCCCCCAGACCCCTCCAGGCCCCCCAGCAGCAGCCTCTGCAGCCCCCAGATCCCAGCCCCCTCACCAGCAGCCTCTGCAGCCCCAGACCCCTCCAGGCCCCCCCAGCCCCCCTCACCAGCAGCCTCTGCAGCCCCCAGGCCACCTCCTGCTCCCCCGAGTCCCCGGTTGGGGGGTGCAGCTTCAGGTGCCTCCGCAGAGGGTCACGGCCTCTGTCACCAGGTACAGGCACTGCTCCGTCTGGGGGCCACCTGGGTCAGATCAGGGACTTCCCCAGGGACCCCCACCCACCACCCTCGCCCTGGTCCCACGTCCCCCCATTTCCCCCATCCCCGTGTCCCCCAAGTCCCTTTGTGTCCCCGCCATGCCCCCTGCCAGGTCCCCCTCAGCTCCACGGCCCCTCATTCCACATCTCCCCCACATCCCCCCAGTGTCCCCAGGTGCTCTCATCGTCCTGTCCCTTCCCTGTCCCCCCCCAGTGCCCCCCCAGTGTCCCCCCAGTGTCCCCTCCAGGCTGTCCAGGTACCCCAGCACGCTGGGTGTCCCCAGTGCCCCCCCAGTGTCCCCAGTGTCACCTCCAGGCTGTCCAGGTACCCCAGCACGTTGGGGTGGCGGAGGCTCCGCAGCCGTTTCAGCCCCGCCCGGGCCAGCGCGGCCCCCCCGGGGTCGCCCCCCGGGCCCAGCGGGTGGGTGAACACGGACACGGGGGTCCCGTCGGCCTGGGAGGGCAGGGGGCGACAGTCAGGGACTGGGGGGGACACTGAGGGGACGGTCAGGGGACAGTGAGGGGACAGAGGGAGAGCTGGAGAGACAGTGAGGGGACAATGGGGGGGAAAAGGAGGGGACAAGGGGACAGTGTGGGGCCAGGGGGCGCGTGGGGCACGTGGGGACGTTTGGGGCCTGGAGGGACACGGGGGACGGGAGGGGGATCGGGGGACCCGGGAATGGGGCACGGAGGGGGCATTTGGAACCCGGGGACGGGGACAAGGGGACACAGGGATGCGGCCCTGGGTGGGCATCGGGGACGCGGGAAGAGATGCGGGACAGGGGGCTCACGGGGACCCTCCTGCCCCCAATCCCACCTTGCGGCGGCCCCGCTGGAGCCGCCAGAGCGGGGCCGGGGCCGCGGGGTCCGGGGCGGCTCTGGGGCCGGGTCCGCGTCGGGCGGGCCCAGCTCGAAGGGGAAGTCCCGCACGGGGTCGCGGGAGAAGAGCCACATGGCGGGGCGGGGGCGCCGGGGCGGCCTGGGGCCCGGCGGGTCCGGGCCGAGCGATCCCGGGAAGCGGCGCCGGCGGAGGATCCGGGAACGGACCGGGGGCGGGGCCTGGGGGGGAGGGCCGGGATGAGCCAATGGCGGGCCGGGGGCGGAGCCGGGAGAAGCCAATGACAGCCCGGGGGCGGGGCCCGGGCGGGGTAAGAGGAGGGGCCTCATTAGGACTGGGTGGATTTATGGGCGGGGCCAAGACGGGGGCGGGGCCGATAAAGACCCAGCAATTGGGTCGCAGGAGGGGGCGTGGCCTGCGTGGGAGGGGCGCGGTCAGGAGGGCGGGGCCACGGAGGGGGCAGGACCAGGATGAAAAGGCGGGGATTGCGGGGGACACGCGGACAGGAAGCGGCGGTGACGTCACCACCGGAACCGACCGTGACGTCACGCTGAATGGGAAATGACGTCACCCAACACCTTCGCAGCCTCAGGGTGAGCCCAAAACCCCCCAAAATCCCCCGATCCCCCCCCCCAGTCCCCAGGGAGGACACAAGGCTGGTCAGGGTTAAGCAGTTTATTGGCACATGTCGCGATACGGGGGTTCCGTCACGATATGCAGGTCCTGTCGCAGCACAGGGTCTGTCATGACAGGGCGCCTTCCCGGCCATACCAGGCCCTGCCACAGTCCTGGCTCATCGGAGCAGCGCGGGGGTCCTCGTCGCGGTCCAGGCTGAAATCTGAGCCCCCATCGCAATATGGGGGGGGTCTCCATCGCGATAGAGGGGTCCCTGTCGCGATATGGGGCCCTCCCATCCCTGTATCGTGGGCTCCGCCAAAGTAACTTCGATAAACTGGAGGGGAGGGAGCGCGTCTCAATGAGGGGTCCCTGTCACGATATGGGGGACCCTGTCACGATATGGGGGACCCTGTCACGATATGGGGGTCCCTGTTACACCAGGGCGGTCCCAGGCCAGCGTGGGCGCCGCGGGGGGTCGAACCCCGCCCCGGGGACTCCCGGAGGTGCCACCACCAGCGCCTTTTGCTTTTTTTTTGGCCTTTTTGGGTCCGGAGGAGAAAAAGCAAAACCTGAGAAAACGGGGAAAAGTTTTCTCAGGAAAAGAAAAAACCTCCCGAAACGGGGAAAAAAAAACCCATCCCCAAACGGGGAAAAACGTCCCCAGAGGGGCCCGGCCCCGCCCGCGCGGTTCGGGGCCGGTCGCGGGGATTTGGGGCTGAACGGAGCCCGAAAAGGGGTGGTTTGGGGGAAAAGCCCCACTCTGGGGGGCTCGGGGTCGGTCCCGCGCCCACGGCGCAGTTTGGGCTGAGAAACGGGGATTTTGGGTCGGAGTCGCGTCCCAGGCGCAAAATGAGGTCAGAATCGGGGATTTTGGGTCCGAGTTGCGTCCCGGGCGCAAAACGAGGTTAGAAATGGGGATTTTGGGGCAGACGCGCGCCCCCGGCGCAAAACGGGCTCGGAACGGGGGGGTTTGGGTTAAACGCGCGCCCCCAGCACAAAATGGGCTGAGAAGTGGGGGTTTGGGGTTAATCGCGCGCCCCCGGCGCAAAATGGGCTCGGAACGGGGGATTTCGGGTTAAACGCGCGCCCCGCGCAGTTCGGGCTGAGAAACGGGGATTTTGGGGTCGGCGCGTCCCGGGGCCCCGCCGGTACTTACTCCGCTCGCTCACCTTTTCCTGCCTCTTATTTTGGGGGGAATTTCTAGTTTTTAGCCATTTTTTGGCGCCAATTGTCCATTTTGGGGTGAATCGAGGCGGTTTTGGCACTGTCACTGTGGGGAGGGGAGAGAGACAACACCACCCCCCCTCCCCCAACCTGCTCCTCCATCCCTCCACTTCTGGGGCAAAATCCGGGGAAAGCGGTTAAAAAGCACCTCCCCCTCCCCCAGCACCGCGAAGGTGCAGACTCAGCACTTTTTTGGGTGGAAAAGCCCCATTTTTGGGTTCAAACTCCCAGCTGAGGGGTGGACCTGTCCAGCAGCGCATACTGGGGCAATTTTAGCCCTTTTTGGGTTATTTTTGGGGGGGAAAAGCGGCCAAACCCAAAGCTGCCTCCCCCACCCTCCGGAACGGCCCATTTTGGGGTGAAAGCGGCACAAATACCCATTTCTGGTCCCTACTTCTCCTGCAGACCCTGTCTGGGGGCTTTTTGCCCCAATCTGGCGCTCGGAGGCTCCTCGGGCGGGGGCAGGGCCGACGGGGGCTGCAAAAAACACCCACGAGACCCCCCCCCCGAGCCCTGTCAGAACATTTTTGGGGGAAAAGCGGCCGAATCGGTGAAACCGCCCGATCGTCGCATATTCCCGCGAACCCGCCGGGTTTTGGGGGGGGTTTAGAGGGTTTTGGGGTCGGGGGGTGCCCACATGCCACGACCGGGGGGTCCCCACGCTCCCCCACCTCTCCCGACGCCCCAAAATCGGCCGGAATTGCCCCAAATCCGCCGCCTCTCCCTCCCTCCCCTGCGGGTCCCGGGGGGCTCAGGGTGGGGGTAGGGCGTGCCCGGTACCTGCTGACGCCGATTCGGGGGGGTTTTGCCTCAAATTTGAAGCTCCCCCCCTCGCTCACTCCTAAACTTACTCGTTTTGGGGGCAAAAGTCTAAATTTAAGCATTTCTGCGGCTGGTTTTGGAGAAAAAACCTGAAAACATCATTATTAAGCCCTCCCCCCCCACCAGCCCCTTCCCCCGCAGGGTTTTGGGTGAATTTGGGGGGGGTTTACGTTCTTTTTCCTAAGGGATCTCCCGGAGCCACATTCCTGAATTTCCAGCTTCACTTTGGGCCAAAAAAGCGGCTTTTTGGTGCTGCTGCCTCCTCCCAACTGTAGCTGCGGAAAGGGCGGAAAACACCCCAAAAACGCCCCCTCCCCCAAAAACCACCCCCCTAAAAACGAAATTAAAGCAACTCTTACTTCTCTGCATTCCCCAAACCTGGGGGGTTCTCCTCAAATTCCTGAGCGTGTTTTGGGTGCGGAATGGCCTTTTCTGGTTAAATCCTCTCTTTTTTTTTCCCTTTCCTTGGCTTTTTTCTCACCGTTTTTTGCCTTTTTTTTCCTGCGTTTTGCTGCTTCCCTGAGGGGGAAAAAAACCGGAGACCCCCCCTCCCCGCCCCCACAAAAAACCCACCGTTCTTTGTCCCTTTTGGTCCCTTTTCTGGAGCGTTTCCACCGACCCCTCCCGCGCGACGCCTTTCCGGGTAAAAACAAGAGATTTCGGACACTTACTGAGCGGCGCCGGCGGGAGCGGCGGAGCCGGAGGGCGCTGGAGGGATTTGGGGGGTTTTCCCCATTTCTGGGGGGTTTAATAGAAAAGGGGGGAGGGGGAGGGGGCGACGGCGGCGGCGCCTGAAACGACAAAACCCCAAAACCCCCCAAATCCCCCCAAAATCCCCAACCCCACGTAGGGGAGGGGCCTCACCCGGCTCCGTTTGGGGCATTTTCCTCAATTTTCTCAACTCCGGGACCCAAATCGGGATTTTTCTTCCTTTTTCTCCTTCTTTTTTGCTTCTGATTTTCTGTATTTTCTCCTCTAAATCCTCTTTGTTTTTCACTCATTTTTCCTCTCTTCTCTTATTTTTCTCTTCTATTTTTTCTCTCTTCTCATTTTTCCCTGTCTTCACTTCCATCTTCTCCAATTATCAGCACTTGCATTTTTCTTTATTCTATTTTCTTTTTTATTAAATTGTCCTTTTAATATTTTTTCCAATTTTCATTTTTCTATATTTTCCAATTTTTCTATTTTCTTTTTTCTATCAATTTTCTATGTTCTTCTATATTCTTCTATTTTTTATTTTTTCTATTTTCTTCTATTTTCTATTTTCTTCTATTTTCTATTTTTTCTATTTTCCTTTTTCTTCTATTTTCTATTTTTTCTATTTTCTTTTTTCTAATTTCTTCTATTTTCTATTTTTTCTATTTTCTTTTTTCTAATTTCTTCTATTATTTTTCTATTTTTTTCTAATTTCTTCTATTTTTTCTATTTTCTTTTTTTTAATTTCTTCTATTTTCTATTTTTAATTTTCTTTTTTCATTTTTTCTAGTTTTAATTTTCTCTTTCCAATTTTTCTATTTTTTCTTTTCCAATTTTCAATTTTCATTTTTTTCCAATTTTCTTCTATTTTCTCTCTCTTTTTTTGTTCTATTTTCTGTCCTTTTTTCCTCTTTTCTCTCTTCTCTCTGCTCCTCCCCTGCCCAACCGCCGCTTTTTTACCAAAAAGTCCATTTTTTCCCCCAGCAGGGGCCGCTGCGAGGAAAAACGTCCCTTTCCCTGCCGGCTCCATCTTCGCTCTTCAGTTTTCCTGCTTCTCCCCCAAACTGGCTCCTCTCTGTCCATCCTGAGCCTGAAAATGCCGCGTTTCACCCCAAACCGGCCGCCCCCTGCGCTGCCCGGCCCCGACGGGGCAAAACCCCTTTGGGAAGCTTTAGGAGCTTGTTAAAAATTAAAATTTAAATTAACCCAAATTTAGGAGCTGGTTTTTTAGCAGAAATAAGCGTAACGAGCGCTTTTTCTTTTCATCTTAAATTAAGGCAGCTTGAAAAGCTCATTTTTGGTTAAGGTGCCCCAGCTCGCTCCGGCTTTGAGAAAATACCCATTAGAGTATTTTAAAGATTAAATAAAACAGCTGCAAGAACTGCGTTTTCGCCCAGAAACCGGCCTTGAAGGCAGCGATTTCTCTAAACCCAGCTTTAAGAGCTTCGGTTTAAATAAAAACCAGCTTTAGGAGAGTCTTTTTTTGTTAAATAAGGAGGTTTTCCATTAATCGTTCCCATTAAAGCGCCCCGGCTCTTCCCATCGCTGGGATCGCCGCCATGGAAGCATTTAAGAGAAAGAAAACAGCTTTAAGAGCTGATTTTTCTTTCAAGGAAACAGCTTTTGTCCCTTTTTTCTTTAAATAAATCAGATTTCGGAGCTGTTTCTATAAAATAGAGCGGCTTTAGGAGCTTTCTCTATAAACCAGCGCAGCTTTAAGAGCTTTTTATCGGCAGTAAAGCCATTTGCGGAGCATTCTTTAGAAAATAAAGCCATTTTAGGAGCTTTTTCTGTATAAAATCAAGCGGCTCCGAGCACTTTGGGCTCAGACCGGGCGGATTTGGGCCGAATTCAGGCGCTTTCGGGGCTGCTTCCCGGCCGGGCACTGCGGGCGCGGGGCCCTCCCTTATAAACAGGCCCTGGCGCCGCCCCTGGGGGGGGTAAAATAGTCCCTAAAATCGCCAAAAAAGGGCCGTGGCCCCCAAAACCCGCCACCCTCCCCTCCCCCTCTTCTCCCCCGGAAAACCCTCTTTTCTCATTATTTGCCAGTTTTTCCCCTTTTCTTGGATTTTTTCCCCTCACAAACCGCCCCCATCACCCCCGCCGGGGCCCTCCGGCGGGTTCTGGCACAAAAACGGTTAAATTTAACTGCGATTTTTCGCTCGATTTGGCCCATTCTGCCCTAACCCCCCCCCCCAACCCCTGCTTTGACCTTCCCTGGCGATTTTAGAGCTTTTTTTAAATTTATTTATTCATTCATTTGAGCGTTGTTTTCGCTTTTGCTGCGTCATGGGGTTGGGCCGCTGCCAAAAGGGCTCTTTTGTGCCCCAGAAGGATCACAGATCTCCCGGGGAAAAAAAAATCCTTGAGGGCACACAGACCCCAAA